GGAAAAAAGTTCTTCAAAGAGTCTTCATGGTTATAATACTTAGGATGATGTAACACTCAATTCACATTTAAGTGTTATCTGTAAGCCCCAAGGAGGTCAATGTAGACTCAAATACTGATCAAGAATATGTTGACCAAAGAAATGCAGCACTGCCGGCACCAGCACATCATCAAAATCACTAGTCAGCAATCAGTACTGTTGAGAACGAGTCTTTTAGGTCTAAATAATTTGGTGCAGCAGCTTATCTCAGTTTTACTAACCTCCATGAGATACTTCTTGGTGTTACTTTTATTCAGTCTATTTGTCAAGAAGTCAAAAGTGTGTGTGGATGTGGAGAGAGGCAGCTAGAGATAGTGGAGAAAAATATTGGAACCCAACTGCAGCAAGGGACCCCAAATCCACGAGGGAACATGCGAAATTTTTTTGCAATTGGCTTGTCATTCAATCATTAAGCTACTTGCGTTCTTAGTGTCCAGCTTTCGAGTCTCTGGACATTATCCAAATTTGGTACCACATATGATGACAAGATGGAACTCTCTTCATATGCAGTACTTTTGGAGCTAATGGTTTCGTACAAGGGCAAAAGATATATAAACCCAAAAATCACGTTAGGTATTAAATCATGAAGAGACTGACAAAGGGAAAGAAAGGGAGTTAGGGGTGGTGGTCATTCTTACAACAGCAGTCAAGAGGTGTACCAACTAATTATCCAGCACGGCAGAGACGCCAATCACGCACCAGTTTCATAAACCAAAAAAGATGCTCCTGGAAGACTTTTTACTAATCAATACAAGACACCATTCTCATGCTAAATCAAACCTCAGATTAAGCAGGATGTCGACTTCAGAAGCTTTTGACACATTCAAGAAGTTCAGAGGGATATTAGTTAACAGTTGCGTGAATCATTAATCAATTGTTTCGAGAAGAACCTTAACAACCTAACCGCTAATATTCTAAGCATCACATATTCTCGTTTAAGCAAGAGAATAATCATCTCACAGGCACAACACATGAACACTCACTTTCTTACATAACAGAGTATAGTTTAAAGAACTCAATAACAAAAGCCAGAAAATGAGGCAGCCTTGGACGAAACAACACAGTTAATATTGCGTTTGTAACCTTGAATCGAAGATTAGAACTTGCTAGCTAATGCTATTCTGATACAGGATAAAATTGTAATGTTTACAAAAGCCAAGATACAGGTTGCTCTACTGTCGGCGAGTTGGTCAATGCAACTTTGCAATCCTAAACGGTTAAGTAGGTAACTCGTTTTGCCTTTTAAAGCACAATCCTTCCAGAAAGTTTCCATTCCTTTCTTTTGATCCCGTCAGCAGCAGCAGATAACAGTACGCCTTTGACCAAAAACTCATATTGCCTGTGGAGTTAATAAGGCCAATTTTCACAGGGAAAGCATAGTCACATATTCTTCCAATTCTAAGAATCAAATAGTCCATCCAGAAGATTAGATGATGAATCATCTTTCACACTCTCATCAAAAAACCCATTCGAGGTATTCTCTCTTTTAAGTCTTCGCTCCTCAACAATAGATTCTGTTGTTTCAGCACAGTAATTCTTCCTTTCCTGCTTTGTTGGTCTTTCAGCCACAACAAACTTGTTGCCTTCACGGGTTCTCTCAGAGAATCCTGCCCAAACTGAAAAGAACCGAATGCGAGGAACTTGGTTACCAACATAAAAGAGTGAAGTAAACTCCAAAAAGACTTCTGCAATTATATGTTCCATCAGAAATTGTAATAGTTTGCAAATTCAATAGCACAGAATACATAAGCTAACAAGGAGCGCAACTTCATCTGCTGCACTAAAAAATGTACTGTTCTGTTGGAACAGTCTAGAACTAGACATCCCATGTGCAGTGCATCCACGAAAAGGATCGAAGACAGGATAAATACAACTAGAGGGTGAGGCACACTCAATGTGTGTGCATATTTAGGGAAAATAAATAATGAGAGAAAAATTGTATTGGTAACGAAGAGTGAAAATAAATGCAATCCTCCAGTCAGGCTGATTCTTGCAGCATTTCAAGCAAGGAATATAATTACAGAGTAATAGAAATGGAAAGTGATGCATTGAAGTAACATTGATTAGTGGGTTAGTTAATAGTGAAGGACTAACATGGGAAGAGTGTAGTGCTAGTTATGTAGGAGTGGGAAGTTTGATAGATAAGATGTGGGTAGATGATAGTAAATACTGGAAGGGTACATTTGGAAAAACAAATAATGACATTTTTTTTTTCTTTATACACCAAACCTGCTCAGGCTTAATAGATAGAGTGATATAATCTTCTAACTAATTCTTCAATAGCCTGAATTAACTTTCAAATTTTAGGAAACAAAATATGCAATTTAGTTAACTAACCTCAAACTCCCACCCCTGGCACGGGGTTGACTACCTTTCCCTATCTCCTAGCAACCAAGTAGCAAAGATTGATAAGTTAACCTCCAATATTGTACTCAAGCTATAAAAAGTCCATCTGGCTTTAGAATTTCCACTGACCTTCCCCATGAAGGGCAAAATTTTATGGCAGTAAAACCAAAGCAACAGAATATCTAATGTGTGAACTTCCTTGATTTCATGCAACTATCTTGATTCTCACACAAACCAAGCCCCCAAGGATCAAGTATATAGAAAACTAAGGTGTAGGAAGAAATGCAATATCCTCTCAATGGATTGACAACTCAAGTGAAAAGAAGCTTTCCCTATTCCTACAACAAAATTTCCAGAAGTCCAGTCTGCCTATCAAAACCGTCTGCAGACTCACTATTAAATTCCTTCCAAATAGATCACATCAAACATATGATCAGCTTAACAATTAAACCTGTTTGTCATGTATTAGCACTGACTATTATCCAACTTTTAATTCCAGAAGAGAACACAAAAAAAGAACTTCAATTCTACAGTCTTCCAAATTTTTGCAATAACCACCCAAAATGCTGCTCTAAACTTGAAGCCAAAGGTTTAAACAACATGAAAAGGTAACATACAAATTTGTTTTACGTATGTCTACATACTATTGTTTCATCAAACATGATTCTAGCTCAGTAAACCAAATTTGCATGGAACAAAGCAATAAATGCGCTGATGAGATAGTATGTTCAAAAGTGTAAGCAGAATTACCTCCAAAGTGGTGTAGAACAATAGAGGCTGCAACAGTAACATTTAAAGAAGCTGTGCCACACCCATATTGCGGAATGTAAACAAAGAAATCACATATCTCACACTCTTTTGCAGAAAGCCCCGTTCCCTGCAAACTTAAGTCATCGACTCATTACGATGCTATTATCTAATGCTGTCTAGGCACAAATAATTCAAAATAATTCCTCATTCACATGACAAATGCACAATTTAGAAAAACCAGTCTTCAGATCACTAAACTTCAACCCATTCGCTGACGTGCACAAGTAGATGTCAATGTAAGGAAAACAATGTTGAAGCAACTTATTTTGGTCAGTTTTAGAGGAAGTTAGAACAAAAAATGAGATTGTGTTAACCCATATTTTGAACGTCGTCAAAAGAACAAGATTAACTAATTATTTCAAGAGTTCCAAACATAAAGGCAGATATTGATAGTGCCATTAATCTCTAATGGTGACGAGTAACCTATCATACTTCAGGAAAAAGAGTTTTTTTCCCCTCTATATTACTTTGTGAAATACAAGAAATGAGAAAGGGAAACTACCTCATTACCAAGAAGAAAAGCAGTGCTTCTCTTGAAAGGATGTTGATTCACAGCCACAGCATCGTCCGTAATCTCCACCCCACATATATCACAATCCCTCTCCTGGTATCAAACAAACCAAAACAAAAAATCAAACCCACCAATATCAATACAAAATTCCCAGCTCACCAAACTCGTATAAGCATCGATGGAAATCCCATCCATTCTAATCATGCATCCAATACTCACAAAATCCAGTTGATGAATCCACATAAAATCCTTTTAAAAAAAATTTCCAGCTCATCAAATTTTTAGAAAAATCCACAAAGATGGCATTTTTTGCTATTACGCACGCATAACTGACAGAAACCACTCGGTCAATCAATCTTCAAAAATATCCTAAAAAAGAACCCAACTTTCCATATTTCAAGAAAGCACAAAAGGCGCTTATGCAAATCAAGAAAAGAGGGTTCTTTCTTGTCATCCTCTTTTTTTCGTTTTCTTTCTGAATTCTGATGATGTAAAATTGGGAACCTTGAGGAAGGATTTGGCGAGGGAGAGAGAGTGGAAGTGACGGAAATTGACGTGGGAGGTGGAGCCATGGCTGCCAAAGGCGTTGAAGTCCCGGCGGCCCACTAAAATCAGCTCTGAGACTCCAAAAGCAGTGCAGCTTCTGGCTAGTGTTCCCACGTTGTGCCTCTTTGCTATATTGTGTATTAACACATAGCTCTCGTATCTCTTCTCATTCTCCATCTAACCTTTCACATGTGAGGCCGAGCTGCGGCGGCAGGAGATGGCGGAGGCGGGGTTTTAGGGGCCTTCTCTGCAACAAAAATCAGAGCCCAAACCCCCCTACAGGGTATAGATTAGAACCCCCAGAGAAGTGGAAACAGCTCATTTCGTCCCTTTTATTTTGGGTGGATACGACGTCGTTCAAGCTGCAGCAGACGAGTTTTTTTTTTCCAAAGCTAAAAATTATTTTTTCAAAATAAAGGGTAAAAACTTTGGGAAATTATGCACGTATGAGTTTGTTTAATTATGCACATATGCGAAATTCTACATTTGTTGAGTCAAACTTACATCTAATTGGGAAATCTTCACAAATTTTTGCTAAATTCTTTTCAAGTTTGATTTTAATTACTCAACAAATTAATCTCAAAAAATACTTAAACTGGCTCATTTGATTCATCTTAAACACTTGAGCTTTCTGATAAAGAAGAAAGCGTGATTCATCATGTCCTAATCTTCTTGATGTAAAAAGCCTAAAAAGCGAAACAGAAATGGTAGTACGGTACCAGACAGGGAAGGCCTCAGGTCCTCAGTATGAGAAACATAACAAAAATATTCACATATTTCCTTTGCTTCAATCAACTATTTATTATATGCACAGCAACATCCAGCATATTGCCCTTTGATTTGTTTCTACATTACATGGACTTTTTATCTCAATGTTCATCTGCAACGACTATACATGTATACTTATTTATGCACAACTATCCCGATGGAACAGACAGCAGAAGGGCTTTTTTGCCCAGAATTCCTTGTCATTCTACTGCTGCAACTTGAGCTGCTGCTAGCCTTGCAATGGGGACCCTGAAATATGAAGCCACAATAAGAAGGTAGCATCTCCGGTGCTTTGATGTCATTGGAAGTAGGCTATAGAAAGAGATCATCAAGTGAAAAGTGCAACCTGAATGGAGAGCATGAAACATAGTCAAGTCCGGCCTCAGCAAAGAAGGCAACAGAAGAAGGTTCCCCTCCATGTTCTCCACAAATTCCGACCTGTTTGTCAAACACGTTGATTACCAACATCAGTCTATTAACAGCTGATGACTTCAAGTTAAAGTGACTAAACCTACAAAATTCTGACAGCTGATGAAAAGGTAGGTCTGCTGTTAATGGATATGCATTCTTCCAGATGCATGACAGTTAATATCAATGCCTGTCATATATACTGTAACGTGGTTAATTGTTGATCACAATCATACTCACCTTCAAGCTCGGCCTCGCTGCACGGCCTCTTTCTGTAGCGATCTTGATGAGTTGGCCGACACCCTTCTGATCAAGTACCTAGTCGCGATGGGAAAATGTCCTCAGGTAGAGGATGTAGCTTTCAGAATTTTGTTTCTGTATTAAGATATAAAACTCTTGAATTGATAAGCTAACCTCAAATGGATCTGCTTGTAGAATGCCTTTAGCCAAGTAAATGGGGAGAAACTTGCCAACATCATCTCTACTGTACCCAAATGTCATTTGAGTGAGGTCATTTGTCCCAAAGGAAAAGAATTCTGCTTCCTTGGCAATCTGTATTTTCATTGCAAACATGCTACGTGAGTATAAAGGTGACTTTTAGTGATGTACGCTTTTCCTTCTTAAAGCTAAGCAGGCTTTCATTGGCATCTTTACACTTTTTAAAAATTTTGAGGTACTATTACTTCATGATTTTAAACGCCATCCCCAAAGGGAAAATAATGATGATGTGTTTCAACATACCTCATCTGCAACAAGAGCAGCTCTTGGGATTTCTATCATGGTTCCCACCTTATAGCTCAGTGAGGCACCCATCTCTGAGAAGACTTTTTCAGCAACATTTCGTACTAAGCTTACTTGATGCCCTAATTCCTGCCACTTAAAAGTTTTAATCAAAGCTTGGAAATGAAAAACCAAAGCAATAGTCAATCTGCTTGACTTTGTGCTGTTCATGGTTGCAAAGAATGAGGCCAAAGTTACACTTTCAACTAATGCATCCTACAATCTATTTCCTGTTCTCTTTTTCCATATTTCTGAGTGGGAGGAGAGCGAAGAGTGGATTGGAGAACTTTTTCTTCTCATTTCCATTCAGATAATTGAAACAAGTGCTGAAGCAACTAATAGAACATCGAGACTTGCCTCAGGTGTTCCAACAAGGGGCACCATAATTTCTGGGAGTACTGTAAAGCCTTGATTTCTAAGAGAGGCTGCAGCCTCAAAAATTGCACGCACTTGCATTTCTGTCAACTCCGGATACGATATTCCAAGTCTGTCATAAGAAAACAAGATTACCATATCGGATTATCTGAGATCTCGATCGTTGTATCTGTAAACATTCCTGCTAACCTGCCGAGTGCCTAACGTGCACTGAAGTCGGACAGATGATTTTTTATACATATATTGGTGTCATACTGTGCTCAAATATTACGGGAAGAAAAGCAGAAAGCCAGCATATAGGAGCTCATAACCACAATAGTCAACCAAGTATTCATTGCAAATCTGTCGTCTAGTTATTCGGGCAAAGAGTATCTGTTACTATTTCTCTTTAGTTTACTCAATCGTATTGAAAAGTTTTTCTTCGTTGAGTTTAAGATGCTTAGTTTTTAGAACTACACCTGCATCCTCGAAATCCAAGCATTGGATTCACTTCTGATAATTTCTCAATCCTCGAGTAAACTTCATCTTCTGACATGCCTGTATCTGTAGTTAGTTGACCAACAATTTCTTCAAGGTTGCCTTCTGGGAGAAACTCATGAAGTGGAGGGTCTAGCAGCCGAATTGTGACAGGATGACCTGCACGTATAGAATCATCTATTTTACAACTAAGAAGTGTGAAGCATCTAATACTGTAGCTAGTCAACTTTTTGCTATTCTTCACTTCTTCCATGTGATAAAATTTTGACATCCTGTTGAATGCTTGACTAATCAAGATAATCAATTTCCAAAGACAAGAATACCATCCATAGCACGGAAAATGCCCTCAAAATCAGATCGTTGATAAGGCAACAACGAGTCCAGGGCTTCCTTCCTCTGCTCCAGGGAAATTGCCATTATCATCTTCCTAACGGCCTTTATTCTTTCATCAGAAGCAAAGAACTGGAACACAAAAAATGAAGTATTTAATTAGTTCCTTACTCTGAAACTACCAACTCATGCAAGTTTTTAGAAGCAAATAAGCAGGAGATGTCTAAGATGATAAGCAGGATTGTGTAAAATGAAGATGACAAATTAAGGAGAATTCCACAATAGGAATAGACAAAATCAATTACCATGTGCTCCGTTCGACATAAACCAATTCCTTCAGCACCATTGTTCCTTGCAGTAAGTGCATCATCAGGTGTATCTGCATTTGCCATCACCTAGCACAGTACATGAACGAACTTGATTTATCAGCTTTAAAAGTATTTGACTGATTCAGACATCCAAGTCTACATTCTATGGCATGGATGTCTATCTAACCTTAATCCGTCTTATTTTGTCAGCCCATGACATGAAGATCTCCAAATCACCTGTCATGGCAGGTGGAGCCAGTGGTTGTTTACCCAATATCACTTCACCCGTCGAACCATTTAGTGAAATCCATTCTCCTTCATTAATTACTTGACCTCCTACAACTAGAGCCTGCATTTTGATGAAACAATAAGTATCTTTTGTACTGGTTAAACCTCAGGTATGCTGATTCAGTGTCTGTAGGCATACCCTTTCAGCATCATTTACGCGGATGTCACCACAACCTGAAACACAACATTTTCCCCAGCCACGAGCTACAACAGCTGCATGAGATGTCATGCCACCTCTAGCTGTCAAGATTCCGGCAGCTGCATGCATTCCTCCAACGTCCTCGGGACTGGTTTCAGTTCTCACCTTCAGCCATATGAAAAAGTTGAAAACTGTAAACAGTGGATACATGAGTAGAATTAGCAGCATTTGCCTAATTATGGTAAATATAGCTGGATGCAGCACTTGTCCAGGGGAAAAACTTTTTTCCCTTCTTTTGTTGCAACCGAAGATTCTCCTTATATTTGCAAAATAAAAATTTAGCCAACTGGTCACCACCCAGAAATTAAATCAAAAAATTGACTCTGGCAAAAACCAAATAACTACATCATCTTTCAAAAGTGCTTTTCCATGCATCAAACTCTTTATAGACCAAATTAAGCACATAAAAGTCTTTTCTTTAGCATATGCACCAAAGTAACAAGAAATCAGTATCACAGTTGACGCATAATGAACTCAGAACTTCTTCCACTCTCCAACTGATGCCAGGTTATCAGTTGGAGAAAAATGAAGAAAATGAGCATACCAAAATGACACACTTTCCTTGCGTGTGCCATGTTTCAGCATCCTCAGCACTAAAGACAATCTGCCCAACTGCTGCTCCAGGTGATGCAGGCAGGCCCTTTGCAATCACCTTGTCTTTGTAAGCATTTGGATCCTCAAACTATACCGAACAGAATATACATTAGAGTTACTGGGAGTTAAAGATTTCATTTAACTCTATATAACTATCATCTCTTCAACCGAGTGGTGCTAATATAAACCTTTACTTTACCTAATACATTGAGAATATTCTAGGCAATCTTCACTGACATATGTATATACCTGTGGATGAAGAAGTTGGTCAAGATGCTGTGGCTCCACCATTTTGATTGCAGTGCTAGTGTCAACAAGCCGTTCATTAACCATGTCCACAGCAATCTTTATTGCACCTTTGCCTGTGCGTTTTCCTGATCGACATTGCAACATCCATAGCCTATTTTCTTGAACAGTGAATTCAATATCCTGTAAAAAAATAAGAGGTTAACAACTGTGTCAAACATAAGAGGTCACCATTTATGTGGTCCAAGGAAATTTACATTTTCGAAGAAAATGTAAAATTTACCATCATGTCTTTGTAATGTCTTTCTAAAATTTCACAATTCTCAACAAGTTCCTTGTAAGCTTCAGGCATACAATTCTTCATGGTATCCAAGTCCTCAGGTGTTCTAATGCCAGCTACAACATCCTCTCCCTATATACAACCATTTCTAAGTCAGTTGATACAAGAACTAATAGGAGCCATCAATCACAAGTGCTTTACGGAATAAAACAAAAAATTCAGTACTAATTCAGGACCTGAGCATTTATCAGAAACTCCCCATAGAGCTTCTTCTCACCGGTGCCTGGGTTCCTGGTGAAGAGAACACCAGTACCAGAAGTGTTTCCCATGTTTCCAAAAACCATGCTTTGGATGTTAACTGCAGTTCCCTTCAACCCAGTTATTTGATTAATGCTCCTATATTTAATAGCCCGAGGACTGTCCCATGAATTAAATACTGCCTTGACTGCCAATTCCAACTGCATTTTTGGGTCTGCAGATGAGCAACAGCACTTGTAAACTTAAATGGACAAATTTCAAAAGAAAGAAAAGAAGCGCCCCTTGATAAAGACATCCTTGAGAGAGAGATACAAAAGTGGATCTTATGCACAGGTGCTGAATGTCTTATGGGTACCTGTGGGAAACTTTTCTCCCTTGGCCTCAAGGTAGACACTCTTGTACTGTTCTACCAGCTCCTTAAGATCAGAGGCAGATAGGTCAGTGTCCAGCTTTATGCCCTTTTCATCCTTTAACTTTTGCAGCTTTTCCTCAAATAGAGAATGTGGAATGCCCATCACCTTCAATTAAGCAAAGGCAAAATGAGAAAAGTCCTCCTCACCGTACAAGTTAAAACGCTAGCTATTGTGCTTAATCTTTGTTATGAAGGCACAGAAAACACAGAAAAGGTTAGTCCATGACTTCTTGCAAGCTTGTTATCAAAGACCATGCAAATCAAGTTCTAGATACTAAAAGATGTTTCCTTTAAATTACGAAGAGTGGGACACTCACAACATTTCCAAACATGTCGAGGAACCTTCTGTACGAGTCATATGCAAAACGCTCACCACTTTTTGCAGCCAAACCAGCAACAACCTCATCATTTAGTCCAAGGTTTAGGACTGTATCCATCATGCCCGGCATCGAAATCTGAAACAGACGCCGAAACCTTGATCAGTCATTTAAAAGTGGAAGTGCACAGCATCATGGTTTGGATGTTTACTGTGAAAAATATTTTTTGAAAAACCTACCCAAACAAACAGACCCTATATGATGCAAAATTGATGTTGCATTTTCTTAAGAGTGTTCGTGATTTGATAACGATTTTATTAAGCCAACTAATCCAAACTACAAATGTAATGAAAAGTGTGAATAGGTGAAATTCGAATCAATTCACAATCTAAGGTGTTGAAATCAGCATTAAATGAAACCTTGAGCCTAACAGAATGAAGAGTACCACCAATTCTCTTCCATGTGAGATCTAAGATGGGCCAGAAAAGCCCAAAAAAATTGGGTTTTGTAGCCAACGACTGATGCCTTACAATGGAAAAAAGCTCACTATATATATATATGTATACATATATGTGTGTGCGTGCGTGTTTGTGTGTGTACATTCATCATCCGAAACGACAGCGTTTGATGTGGCGCAACCTCCATAAAGGAAAATTTCTTCTTCCCCCCAAATTAAATAAAAAAGCTTCCCATCAGCTTGGCTCTCTCTGCACTTTAAAACCCCTCCAATCCCTCACCTGAAGCTAGCCCAGAACAGTGTAAACTCGCAAATTCCCCTCCAGAAACAAGCAATTCGGGGAAAAAAAAAAATCTTTCTAGTTACAAAATCAAGTGTATATGCAAAAACCCATGTGAGATATGTATATATTCATGTTGCCATAAGCTCCTGAAACTTGAGAGAACGACAATATGTCTTTTGGTGGGGGATTTGGGAAGGACTCAGGTCCTGCTGCACCAAGAAACCAAACCCCATTTGGAAATTTCCCTAGGCCTCCTTCCCCAGCTCAACCCTTTACTAGATCCCCCGGGTAACTTCCCTTAATCTTTCTGTAATACATGTGCTTGTGTTTGTGAAGTTATGAACTATTGTTCTATGATTCAGTTAGTTTTGTTTTGGTGTTGTTTAGGTATCTTAATTTATTGTCGATATTTGATAATTTAAAGTCCAAGGTAGTTTAATTACCCCAAGATTTGATTTTTTATTTTTTATTTTGGTGGTGATTCTTGTTGGAGCTGTAGAAACTATTGTAAGACTCTGAGAATTGTACGTTAGAGAGTGTGGGCGTGCGTGCGTGCGTGTGTGTGCGAGAGAGAGAGAGAGAGAGACTGTGTGCTGTGACTTAATTAATTTGGTTTTATTGTGTTCTTCGTTCATGTTTATTCTTCATTTTGGATATGTGCTCCTTTGTCCGGACTCTTGGTGGTTTATGTGGAGGTATGCAAGCACTTCATTATTTTCCAGAATGGCATAAGATTTGCATCCCTTGTTAAGGTCCTTCGTTGCCAGCCAATATGAGAAGTGATTGATTGATGTCTAAAATATGAGAGCAAAAATTATGTCTTCCTGATAGAATTTTTATTAAACTTTACCACTGTGGTCTTGGCCATCAGGTATTCCACTATACGGGTTATTTGCAGGATGACAGACATCATTTTGTTTGTCATTTTTAGGAATACTTTTTCAAGGAGTTTTAGTAGCAATTGCATGTTAGTGCTCTCACCTTTCAAAGCATGTACTGTCAGTTTAGGTTAATACTTCTGGTCTCTAACAAATTAGTGTCAATCATGCCTAAGTTGCTCACATTGATTAGTAGTTGATCTTGCTTTTATTGCAAGAATTCGTTCTCAAGTATGGAGTGCATATCTGCTGCTGCTAATAAAAGTTTTTTTTTTGGGTTGAAATAGAGAACCTGAAACTTTCAAGAAAATTAATTCACGCCCTTCGGCTTTTGAAAGCCGACGCTTGGTGACGAGTCCATCTCGACCATCTGCAGAATTTTCAAGGTATTTATACTTTTTTTGGACATGCTTTCCATGTTATTTAATTTGGGATGGCTGTTGATAATGTGGGTACCTTCAAATGATTTCGGAATTAAGTCATAAATGATAGAAAAAGAGTCTATTGGTATACCTTTCAGTGATATAATTATGGTGTCGCATATTCAGATCCTTGTATGAAATCCCTGGCTTGAATAATAGGGTGGTTATCCAATTTTATAGCACCAAATGAAACTTTTTGTTCATTCTATCTTTTTCATTCTTTGTTCTCGAGCTAGTGCTTGCCTTTAATGCTTTTCAATGGCATTATGTTATATGCCATGCTTTTATTTGCTAGGATGACCAAATAAAGAAGAAAAATCATTGAAAATATTTCTTCTTGTCATACTGATGGATGATTATTTTCTCTAGACCCAGTCAATCTGCTCATACGTGGAGCAATGGCCAAAAGTTTTCTTACAAAGACTATGATGCTCCGGTTGATGAAAGCATTCCAACAGTAGTGCCATTTGTTCCTTCAAGTACTTTTACACCAAGTGTTCCTGCTAAAGGTTCTCAATTTCAAGATACCAGGACAACTGTATCACCTACTTTGGTGGCTTTTGATGAAGAGATTTTGAGAAGATCCATAGATGTTACTGTTAGAGGAAGGTAATCCTTTCTTTTTTTCTGATTTACTGTGTTTCTTGTTCCATATGCTGTTAAAAGTTGCAATTATCTTTTGAACTCAACACCACTATACCAACAGACATATTGTTTCCCTAATGCGATGGGTAGTTAGTTCTGTATAGGAAAATTTTGTATTGGTGTGGATTGACATATTGATGGAACTTCATGAACAGTTAAGTTGCTAAGTTTGCAACGAAAGTAAGTTATTAATGTAATTCCAAATCCGTGTTGCTTAATCACAAGTACCGAAGGAATTAAAACTTTTTGAAGTTATAATACCTCCATTTTCTGTACATTTTTAAGTCAAAACCTCTGAGTTTCATATCAAATATGCTTGATTTTGTCAGATCTTACATGGTCTCTGTTTTGTTTCTACTGGAGCATCTGCTTGGGGATACTTCATGATGCCTTCACATAGAATTTTCTAACTTGTTTTTCTCCTTTTGGTAGTCGTGCAGGTTTTCTTCCTAAAAGTCAGAGCGACTTGTTTCCACAGCAAATGCAATCACCTCATCTGCCTTTACTGGGAAACCCCTATGCTGAGGGTGCTGGCCCTCCATTTAGTGAAGTTCAACTGTAAGTTTGGTCTTTGGCATCTAAAACTTGCTAGTTGTTCAGCAAAATGTATGCAGCATTGTACAAGACCAACATAGCATAGAAATCTATATTATTTAGTCTAATATAAAAAGAACATTAGAAAAATAGAAATAAACTGATACAAAGAATTAAGATTTTATTGGGGAGTCATCGGTCCTAGAAGGGAGTTAAATTCTATTTCTTTCACTTTCATTCTTCCATTCAATACTAAAATGAGATAGATACCCATCTCTCATACTAAAAGGAAAAAGGAAATGAGGAAATGAGAAATTAATAAATTTAGAATGTAGTAATAATAATGGGATCCATAAATTTCCAAAAAATAGTTTCATTTAGTTCAGGGAACAAGACAATTTGTAAACTTCTACTCTGATTACTATAAACAATTCTGCTTTCTTCATTAAGCAGGTCTGCTTTGTCTTCCAACATGTGGGGCGACCAGTCAAAGTCGTCGGGGGATTTGACCAGCCTGCTCACTCAACCAGTTATATCTTCTGTCTCTGCAAATGCTACTTATGATTCTAGAAGAAAGTCCCCAAACAAGCATGTGGACTCTCAGGTTTCCAAGCGAAGCAGGTCGCCAAATTTTTCCACCAGTAATGGTGGCCCCTTAGAGGATTCTTCGCACCTTCAAAATTCCCGGAGGTATACAAGAAAAGCTTATTTTATTGTATCTTTTAGTCTATCATGGGATCATTTTCTAGCAGCAGGCTAGTCTGACCTTTTTGTGAAGGGTCTTCTGCACAACTATAGCTCTCTAATTGTTTTGATGAGACTTGTGTACTTCAGCCATTAGATCATATAGGAGCTCTTTTGCAATGGTTTTCTGCAGTTATCTGCTCTCTAGATTTGCAGATATGGGTGAATAATGGAGATTAATAAGTCCCGAATTTGTGGTTGAGAAGTGGGAAAAGTGAAATAACATTGTCAGTAAACAGGAGATAAGTCTGCTTATCTCGATTACATAAGTAATGCTAAATCACGTGCAGTAATACATGTAGTGCTTGACATTAATGCTTTTGGATTTCGCATCTGAGTGATATCCTGAGAAGAATATTGAGAGACACGAATGAAAATTTTAATGGGCAAGACCAGACCTTGTTGACAAAACCAAATGGGACTAATGTCTGGAAATTGTTGCAACTCCAGAAGATAGTGAAGTTCTTTGTACATGGAGTCAAGCTGCAGAGATCCTTAAATTTCTTTTTGCTAGATTTGTCACAAGTTGCTCCTTTCTGTTGTTTAAGATGTATGCTGGACATGCATTAATGAACTACCAATTCTCATTTCAAGGCCTTCTACATCACCTCCCAAACCAAGGCTGAGTGCTCAGTATGTGTCTTCTGGTTCTCAAAGTCGTCAAGAATCTTCAACATCAGGGCACCTCAATAAACCAGAAGTAGTTGCAAATAAGCCTATGACCTTACCAGCTGCCAAAAAAACCAAATTGCCTTCCTCATCAACATTAGATCAAATCTTTCGGGAAACTTTCAATTCCCCGGAGGATGAGATAAATCGGTATTACATTCCATTCAACTTAAGTTTTTAATTCCTTCTAATTTTTACATTTTTTCTTTAATTTTTACATTCCATATGCAGTTTTTAATTCCTTTAATTCCTTCGGTATTACATTTTTAATTAATTCCTTCTATGAGGCTTGTTATTCACAGAGAGTTGCAAGCCAAAGCAAAGCGGTTGATGCGATTCAAGGATGAATTGACACAACCAACGGAAAATGATCTAGTTTCCAAAAATCAAAGCTTTTCTGCGAAAAGACAGCATCCAGTTATGATGGAGAAGCGGAAGTTAAATGGGGAAGATGCAGTTAATATGATACAGGATTCCTATAATGGTCATCTCCCTTCTGATTATGAAGGCCTGGATTCATCTGGAATTATAACTGGATTGTGTCTTGATATGTGCCCAGGTATGTCCTTGACTTGCCATCTTGCTCTCTATTAGAAATTAAAATTGTGACTGTACCTGAAGGCCATTGGACAAACCACATTCATTGAACCTTGTCCATGAAAAAATGAAAAAGTAAAAGGTTCAAGTAAATTGTGACTGATTTTTCAAAATTAGGGATGGGAAAATAGTTTAACATTGCTCCTTTTAAATGTAGTTTTTGGAAGAGCATTGATGTGATCAAGCGGCATTTAGCTTTAATGCAACTTTCAATTGGAAATCTACAGCAAGAA